GGACTAGGGAAGACATTTTTGAGCCACCTTTGGCAAAGTAGGAAGGAACGATTGGCCATTGGTGATCGGTCTTGTGGGAATNTTGCGGCTTCGAATGCGAAGACCGTGTTCATGTAGTCGCGGAATGTCAATGGTACGAAGAATGGTACGAAGAGGAGAGGGAAGCGTACGTGACTGAGCTGGGAAAAATACAAAGGAGGTACAGGTAGATGTTTGAGGCATGGAACGGAGAGGAAAGGACGGTAGCTGTACTGAGGAGTAGAAAGTGGTTTGAAACGGCGGGAAAGGATATCGTTGGATAGATAGACTAGGGAAGACATTTTTGAGCCACCTTTGGCAAAGTAGGAAGGAACGATTGGCCATTGGTGATCGGTCTTGTGGGAATAATGCTCCGTCCTCTCGAGGACGCGTGGTCAATGGCCTAACCGCTAAGGCAAACAAGACATAAGAGTACGCCCCCTCCCCCTCCCCGTGCAGCCTTCACCCCACCCACCAGGGATGTAGAAGTGCTTTCCGAGCGACCACACATGAAGAACGCCATCCAGGTCTCCGAATAGTACTTGCTGCTCGTTGGCCCCAGTCTGTGAAAACACGAGGTGGAGAAATTGAGTTGTACCCGATAGAAGCAAAGGTGGGTGCCACGAGCGATCCGGCTTTGACAAGGTGCTGTATGGTTCAGGCTGAAATCTGAAGCAAAACAAGACACACAAGTGGTAGATGCCAACAAAGGAAAAGGAACACCCTTTGGCCCTGGACAACAAACATGGTTTCTACGCAGAGAGGCACGCAACAGCCAACGCAACAACGAACCGCTGGCCTGTCTTACCTCGACACAGTCCACGCAAGTAGGGGACGAGCGCAGGCCACCGATCCGGCAAACGAACTCCCCCGTGAGAACGTCGTAGAAGCTCACGGTTCGGTCGAAACAAGCCGCCGCGATTCTGTTCGAGAGGGGCATCTAGTCGATCGGAAGGCGGGCCGGTCGACCACCCGTTTGCAGTTGGGAAGGAGGACACCGCCGGTGCGACAGGAGCCGCCGGTCACCACCCCAGCAGGGGTGCGGGGAGGTGCAGACACCGTCGACCGAGAGAAGGGAGGAAGGGAGGGGGAAACAGGGTTGCCAGTATCATACCGGGAGGAGGAAGACATGAAGGGAAAACAATCATGGGATTGGCAGTTGCCCATGCACTACACATTGAGTATGATTTGTTCGTGTCTAAGTGTGTAACTGCTTTCATGTTTCTCGCCTGGGTTTGTTTCTCACAGGTGGTACTAGATGACGGAGCGTTCGAGTCGATACCTTTGAAACTCTCCGCTATTTTTGCGGGGAAAAGAGACTCGTGAAGAAAGCACACCGCCACTGGCGAAGCATGGCCGGTACGTTTGCCTCTTTGTGCTAGGTAGGATACGTAGAGGAGTGGACCGTCTGTCTCATGTTCACGCTGCTGCGACAAAAACAAACCTTGCGGAAAGAAACACCTGGCAGTAAGTTGGTTGGCCCAACAATAATCCGTTAAATCTCATATCTGCTTCATTCGCCCCCAAGGGCGTATGTAGCCGTCGGTTGCAGGTTCAACCAATAGCGCGACCGTGCTTTTCTTGACCGTAAACATCTGATCCTCGCTGGTGCCTGCGTCCGGCTTGAACACGAGAAGGCCCCAGGAGTTATATTGGCCAAGCATGCTCACAAAGAAGCAAAAAATCGAGAGTACCATGCTTGAAAAGAAAAGAACGCACTTTATGGGGGATTGAAATCCAGACCGGGCTGTCACAACCTTGACGCACAGAGTATGTAAACGGAGTCACGGCGGCGACCGGCTTCCAGAACTCTCAAGCCAAAGTTGTCGCGGTTTGCTATAGTTGTTTTTTGTGCCCTCTCCCATTCAACTCTCTCACCCGCACGATGTATTGCGGGAGAACACGCAATCATTCACCCCACGTCGGATAGGCCAGCTAACTTTCGTGACTCGACCACCCAGGGTGTAGGAGATCATCCGTTCAGCATATTTGCTTTCCTGTCTTGCTTACAAGGTTACCTGTTGGATGTCGTATACCCAGGCAGACTTCATCGATTTGACGGCTCTGTTAACCTCCGCCGAGCAGACTCTTCGTCCGTTCCCGTCCACCTCCCTGCCTTTACCCCCCTGGGAAAACGAATGGAAAAACGAGACAAAAAAACGCTGGGCAACGACTCCCTTGTCGTCGTGTAGTCACAAGTGCTTGCCGGTATGCCAGGGGTGTTGGCGACCCAAACGTGTCGCCCTCTTTTTCTCCCGTGCTGAGGCGGGGCTTTCCCGGTTTAAATCGAGGTGTGCTAGAACAAACGACCTCAACACAACAATAACAACTCCGGTACACGAAAATATTCCGAGAGAACATCAACGGAATAAGGCAGAATGATTGACAATAGTTATCTGTGGGAGAATACACGTGACCATGCCAACTATTTAGAATAGTGGCGAAGGTCATAAAACGAACACAAACAAGAGCATACACATTACGCCAAAAGTCGCTCGCCCTTTCCACCCGTTCACCGTGATGATGATTTCGTACGCGGCCTTCATTGTGTCGAGATGCCGGATGGTACGGTAGTGGGCAAAGGTACCCTTGTTCCAGAACTTGATGGCGCCGTCCCTGCCACAAGTCAGGTACGCACTAATGCCTGGCCGTTCGACGTTGATCACCTTCACCGGCAAGTGCAGTGTATACGGAGCAGCTGCGATGGTCAGCACAGCAACACCCTCCCGCGTGCAACCCCCTTCTTTGACACCCGATGTTGATCGAGAGGGGGCGTCACAACGAACGCGACATACGGTGCACGCTATGACTCTTCCCTAACAAGCCCTCTCGTGGCAACACAGTGGGAGGGGCGGGGC